TATGCGCCCTGGCGGTCCGTATTAGCTACCCTGTTTGCTGATTTTGGCAACGAATAGATATGTTTTCCCCTCTGGCTTGGCCTGACGGAACCCTACTGTATGACTTGTCGACATCTATGCCTTCGGCTTCTTACCTATCATTGTCTCCATTTGAGCAGTTCAGGGAACCGCTGCTTGTGATCGGGTTGGGAGATGCATCCGAGTATGCATGGCTACGTCCGCCACGTGGAACAGACCAAAGTTCAGCAGAGACATTTGAAGATCCTCCAGCTGAAGACGAAAGCACCAATTCTGTTCTTTTTGGAATCGATGATCTTAGAGAGCAGTTTCCCAGGGCATATCTGCATCGTCTTATGATGTTCGATTCTCCATCTCAGTCTCGACATCCGCGGTTGCCTCCAGAAGCACTTTTGGTTCCCCCAAAGTCCAATCTTAAAACGACGACGCTGAAGACTTTGATGTGCGATCTCACTGCAACTCTGCTAGCGGAGATGACAACATTGGCCAAGTCTATCCAAGCCCTTCCTACCTTGACCTCCCCAGCGTCTCAAAATGGCATGGCAGAAGCCACGCCGAACTGGGCTGCATCGGAATCCATGTCACAGTTTTCTAGAAGAAATTCGCAAGCACCAAGCACAAGTAGACCCGTAACACCTGTAGGAAATGTTCAGAGAGATATGCACCGCGCATCCATGCCTATACTTCCTTCAAGCTCTGGAAGCTCGGTGTCAGGAGAAGACCAGAGGCCTGCTTCAGTGAGCACCCAGGACTCAAAAACCCCTGCCACCACATTTGATGAGATTTCTGGAGTAGGGTCAACCAGCAGCCTTCCACAAAACACAGGCAGCCCTACAAAATCTGCTGCAGCAACAAAGGCCGATCGTGTTTCAATCCATGGATTTGGTTCCGGGGGCGTGAGTGAGAGAGCTCGAAATAAGGGGCGTGGTCGCATCAGCATCGTAGTTGGTACATTGTACATGTGCGCTGGGCAATGGGTTGAGGCCATACGAGAGCTCACAGAAGGCGCAACAAGAGCACGCACTCTGAGCGACCATTTATGGCATGCAAAGGCTCTGGAAAACATCATGGTTTGTATGCTGCTATTTGCGTGGTCAGGCATGGACTTTCAGGTCAGTACGGCCTCTGATTGTGTTATCGCGCAAGAGCGCTGACCCGAGAAGATACCTCAAATATGCTACCCAGGATCTGATAAATCCAACGGTGTCAAGTCACCCAATCACACGCCAACTAACAGCGGCGCAGAAATTTCGGCGTCGGCAAAACAGCAAAACCATGACAATTCGCTCGATGCCCTTAGTTCGCTGCTGCCTGATCTAGTACACATGATCCTAAACCTGTATACACGGGCGGCTAATTTTGCGGGCGAGTCACTACCACCGCTTGCATTCTCAGAATGCGTCATACGATTCTCAAAGTTATTGGCTGCTATCAACTTATCTGCGGGGTATTTGGATGAAGATTCGTTGCGCCACCTTGTGCAAAATGTTCCTTACAAACAAAAGTCAAGATCGGTCGTTTCCAGACTGAGTGTACACCCTACGCGAAACGATATTGCTACAATGCTTTTTCGTGCGCTGCCAGGCCCTGTCGAAACATGCGGCATGAACCCCACAGAGCGGGTGGTAATACTAGCTGGAATCGCGTCTGTTTTGTCGTCGCTAGGGCTGCAGCGAAAAAAAGCGATCGTCATGAAAGAATTTATCACATCCCTTATACCCGGTCTAATACAGGCCCGAAAGGTGGGAGCAGCTGAAATGGGAGTTCATCCAGCTGCTGGCCTCGCTGCCCTCAACATTGCAAGTAGCAGTGGCCCAGGTGCTGCCGCTCTCAATGTAGGAGAAGGGGAGGTTGAGAACGGGATTGAAGAATTTCTGGGCTTAATAGGCCGGATATACGGGATTCCTAATTCGAAAGGAGCTATACCCGACATGGCCGTGTCTGCTCAAAAAGCGGACAGTGAAGAGGATACATCAAACAATGTTGCAAGCCAACGTGAAGTTGATGCCATTCTTGCTGTGTCATCCATGCGATCTTTTGGAAGCCTCAGTCTCAAACTGGAAGTTCTCCGAACTTGTCTGAGCTTTTGTGAAGCCTTGCCAGACTTTAACGGCGTTCTTCATTTCACTGCCCTGTTGCTGAGAATAGCAGGGCCTGGAACGGCGCCAAAGCCAAATAGCACCGATGTGTACGTGTCTCTCCCGCGGGAGGAACAAGTACGCTTATACTCGAACATCTCGAGAACTGTCACTGCAGCTAAGAAGCTTGGTTTTGCGCATGTGGAAACAGAGTACTGGGATGATTTCCTTGTCCGAGGACTGTTCATTTTAGACGAAAGTGAAGCCCTCAAGTTGACACAACGTCAAGGGGAGGAGATAAAGTCCAAAACCAAAGGGAAAGACGGACCTTTTCTTCACAACGCTTGGGCTGAGCAGCCTCGGACAGTTGATGCAAATACCACCCTAGTTGCCAACGAGGAGTATCGCTTCGTCATTGCCTTACAAAATCCCTACGACTTCGAGCTTGGAGTTGAGTCGTTGAGATTTGCTGCCGAAGGTGTCGAGTTTGTGGGAGTGGAAGAACATTTCCTACTTGGCCCATACCGTACACAGAAGTTTCAGATAACAGGGAAAGCACTTTCAGCCGGTGAACTGAAAATCATCGGCTGTTATGTAAAACTTATTGGATGTCGAGAACGACTGTTCCCTATTTTCCCCGAGCCATGGAAACCTAAGAGAGAGCCCAAGATGAAGCGGCTGGGACTCAAAGCTTGTCTCGGCACCCCGATCTCAAGACCTTCGTCTGCTATTGCTCCTTCTATTGATTGCAGAGCGATCTCGAAGCCCAAGCCAGAGTTACTTACATTTTCTGTAATACCAGACCAACCCATCCTCACCATAACTAATGTGTCCCTCCCCCAAGCAGCAGTCATGGTACTGGAGGGTGAGAGAAAGCGATTTACCGTTACGGTTAAGAATTTGTCTTCAACGACTGCTGTCGACTTTGTCCATATTTCCTTCCAGGATACAGCAATGGCCGCAATCCACGCAGCCACATCAAACAAAGACCTCCCGCCTGCCGAGCTACATGAGCTCGAAGTCCAGCTTGCACATTACCCATCGCTGCAATGGTGCAAAGATGAAGACGAAGAGTCTCTATGTATCAAGCCAGGTGCGGAGATGGACTTTACGATCGAGGTCGTCGGCCGTACCCGACTGACAGACGCGACCATTCAAATCGACTACGCCAACATTGGAAAGCGAAGATCTGAAATCGAAGAACATGTCTTTACTCGTCGGGTCTCTGCTCACATATCTATTACTGTGAATGCAAGTGTGCAACTCCAGCGCCCAGACATTGTGCCTTTATCAGGCGACATTGGCTGGTCCCAAGGTCTTGCACTAGCCTCAGCAGATAGACCTGAACCATCACAACCTGCGGCTTCTGGCAATGCAGACACCCATCTCCGCTCATTCATAAGCTATAAACAAAGCCAAGAAAACGACGACGAATACTGCATGCTTCTCCTAGACCTACGAAACTCATGGCCAAACCCGCTATCCCTCACACTTGAGTCACGGCGTCCCACCAACAACAACTCTCAAGACGACTCGATCGACCCCTGGAAAGACGCTTTCTCCGTCACCGAGATAATTCAACCCGGTCACGTCAGCCGTATCGTCCTCATCCTCCCCAAAATCTACCTGCACGCTCCTCACGCCGCAGTCCCCTCCCTCAACCCCGCCAACCAACGCCAATTCGTCGTCAGCACCAGCAAAATCTCGCCCGAAACCGAGCGCGCAAGCAGAGAAGCCTTCTGGTACCGCCAGGAACTCCTCACCATGATCCGCGGCACCTGGACCGAAACCGGCAACGGCCGCCACGGCGCCCTCGAACTCCGCGGAATCAGACTTTCCCCACGCATGGTCGACGCTATTAAACTAGATGATCTGGTTATCTCTATGACAATGGTTGCAGACCATGAAGATGAAGAAGACGAAACACCATCGATCCAGCAACTAGGTCACTCGCGCTTCTCAGTCCCAATCGACACATTCGTTACGCTGCGGACTACACTTCGGAATCGGAGTCCCCACCCTATTTCACCTTTGCTGCGTCTACAACCGCATCTCGCATCGCTCCCGCATGCACTCGCGCTCGATCTCGATAAGCGGCTTTCGTGGTCGGGCGCGCTGCAACGCCGACTTGCGCTTTTGCCGCCGGGCGGGAGCACAACGTGCGAGATTGGACTTGTGGCGCTGTGTAGTGGGGCGTACGAAGTGGGTGGGTTGGTCGAGGAAGTCGAGGTGTTGGGGGCTGAGGAGGGGAAAGAGGGTGAGGGGAAGAAGAGGGGGGAGATGGAGATGGAGAGGTTGTTGCAAGGGGATATATTGGGGGAGCGCAAGTTGAGGAGTTGGGGGGTGAGGGAGCCGTGTGGGATTGTTGCTACGAGGGGTGCTGGAGATTAAGGAGTGAGGAAAGGGCGTGAGTGTGGTTGTATGAATGATGGGTGGAATGTAACAAAGCGAGAAATATATCATGTTTTTCCAATGAACATCACCAAAAGCCCTTGTATTTTTTTTCTTTCTTCAATCCCTGTATCTAGAATCCGTTCTTGATTCCTCTTCTACACGAAAGAAAGACAAGCAAGAAAAAAATCAAGGAGAGTCGATCAACTCGGAAAAGATAAAGGACGCCTGTAAATGCAACAAATATTCCGCCTTGGGACATCGTCACCGCCTGTTACAGGTACCTAGACGTTTTCTAGGTCGCGTAGAAAGAAACAAAATATTAAGAAAAAGGGAGAGGAAATCACCAATTTCCAAAAGTACACGGTGGGGTTATGAAAGGAGAAACTAGGCCGAACTATTCGTAGCCTCAATCTCTAATATATCCCTTCCGTAAGAGAACTAATCATAATAATACATATTCCGACCATTCCACAACTGCGACTTCCGAATCCAAGAAAAAGTTACCACATCTCAGTTATTAGTCAGGGTGGGCGCCCTCCTGAGCTTGTAATCAGGTAAATGGTCAAAATCGTCGGTTTCGGGGTTGTAACGCCAGGCCTTGAATTCAACACCGTAGGGCTTGGGCTCGAGCTGGTATAGCATACCAAGAGGACAGTCGAGGTCGGCTACATCTTCGCGCTTCAAGCCCTGGAAGTATGCTAGTAGTACACGGGCGACACTGCGGTGCGTAATCAACAAGCAGTGGTCCGTCATGCGCTCCAGTTCGACAATGACGGGGCGAACGCGGTTGATGACGTCGAGGTAGCCTTCACCACCTGGGCCAGGATAACGATATGCAAGCTTGTCACGTCGCCGTCGGAAATACTCGTCAGCATACTTTGTGCGAATCTCTTCGTATGTGAGACCCTCCATGATGCCTGCATTGAGCTCATCCAACATGCGCATCTGCTTGACCTCAAAGTCCTCGTCGCAAAAGTACTGCCCAGTCTGAATTGAACGCTTCAGCATGGATGTCCAGACACAAAAGTTGTGCGTCTCGAGTTCATGGCTGTAGTATGGATTTGGAGGAGTGGTGTCACCCGGGACTGGTGGAAAGTGCGAGTTGGCCTTTTTGTTTGCTTGCCGAACTGCCCACTCCTTTCGCTGGGCAGCAATGAAGCGCGTCATGGCCTTTGCGTACTTTTCTCCATTCGGGCTAAGATCAGAGTCACCACCAATCTTGCCAGCAACATTATCCGTCGACTCGCCGTGTCTTGTTATCCAGATCATGCGTGGCGCGAGGTTGAAGTTGAGGAGATAGTAGACAGCCTGGCCGGCAAGGAAACCCCTAATCTGATGTGAAATCATCTTCCGGCCGACATCCACCATCTTGACATATGGCATGTTGTTATCTTCCTCGTAGTCGCCAATTGGAACGTAGTTCTTCTCGTAGATGGCTACACGCTTCTTGAAGTCTGCGAGAGCAGCAACGGGGTCCTTATCCGCGTAGTCCGGTCCCGACAGCTTCAAGCGCATATTCGACTCGAGCAGATTCTGGTCGCGGCATACACTCTCGACGAACAAAACATTGAGCTCTGGTCCCGCACGCGCCCGGATCCGCTCCATAATCTGTTTGCGGCGTGCAAGAGTGCTGTTGGTTGCATCGAATATGCCTACTGATCCACTGCCCTTTAGGATGTAATCCAACAGATCATCCAATGTTTCCATGGCGCATTGTTCTCGCAGCGCAGCCGCACGCTGGTTTTGCGGGTCGAAAAAGTCGGCCGACTGGTCCATTGCCTCATTCTCATTGGTATCCGGCTCATTGTTGGGCGTAGGCGCTTTCGGGCCCGGAGATGTGACCTGGACCCGGGGTGGTGGAAGCGCCGTATTATCGTCGTCGTCCGCAATGGCGGTGCTACCCCGGCGTGGGTCCGGCACGTTCTGTGGGTCAATGGACCCATCGTGCGCGGGGTCGCCGTTGATAAGGATTTTTGCGGCAATCTGCGGCAAGGTGTCCTGGTGCTCCTCAATGGCGCGCTTGACATTGGATGAGATGCGCTCAAGGTTCGCTTGGGATAAGCGGAAGCCACTGTGACTGGCCGCCACTCGCCGCTTCTCTCCCACGTTGAAAATCTTGGTGTCGTGTTGTAGCCAATTCAAATAGCGGGCCATTTTCTTTGTGATGTAAGACTTACCCCGCGCGGGCAGTCCCACCATGACAATGACTAGCTTGGAGCCGACATCGCGCTGTGCAATCTTGCCATCGGGGGAGACTTTGGATTTGGTCAGGCCGGGGATGTCGAGCGTCGTCGGGCGTAACCGGGGGGTACCCGCAGCAGAGCTATTGCGCGTGAGGGTGCTGTTACGGTCAGCGAAGTATGAGGTAGTCTGCACCGGAGCCTCTCCATACTCTCGCGGACTTCCCGGGACCGATGGCAACGGGGTGTCACTCAGGGCAACACCCACGCCATTGTTCCCAGAGAGATGTCCATTTTGGTGTTGCTGCTGGACGGGATTGGGAACCGCCTTCAGGTGGCCATCTTGGTTTGCGCGCTCCTTGAGCGCCTGTACGTTCTTTGCGGGCGCAACTGCGGGAAACTTGGGTTCGGCCGACACGGGGCGGGGCGTCAGATCGTTGTCAGTGGTGGTGTCTGGCTGCTGTGCGTTGTCGAGAGGCAGAGTGAGTTTGCCCATTACAGATCGGGCAAAGGTGGAATGGGAGCTGAAGCGGCGGCGTGGCGGAGAAGAAGGTGGTGGTGAAGAAAAGGCGGAAGTGCGGCGGGGATGGGAATGGTGCTTGTGACGAGCGAGCTCGGTGACCATCGGCGTCGGAAGAGCATCCATGCCTGGCGTCATGCCAAGGCGACGAAGCTGCTATTGTGCGCTGCTCTGTCAAGCACAAGCTAGGGTGAGAGTAGCCTCGCCGCTGCGCTAAGGCCAGTCGCTGGCTGGGGACGAGTTGCAGTAGTGGAGAAGGGAGTGGGTTGAGGTTGGGGAAATATACGTAGTGGTTGCACAAAGGCTGTGTGCAACCACAGGCACTCTGGTCAGGTCTTTCTTGTCGCGCGCGTCGTGCAAAGGCAACAAGCAGGCAGGGACAGGTGACTTTATCAGCAGGACCGGAGGCCGATACATATATCCCATACGTGTGAATTAACAAATATGACTGTTCGGAGTCGGACTTTTTGGCTGGTGCTCACCACCATCCACGGTTCCCCGCCAGACCACGTTGCTGGATGGAGCAACGGTCGAGTTTGCGGGAGCGCGCAGGAACAGGCTGGCTATTGCATGACGTATCATCTTATTGGAATGTCTTCTTCTCTTCTTCTGCTTTTCTTTGTCTTCTTCCCCCCGTACAACTGAGATTAGGACAGCGGAAGGCAATCGGTGCACGCGTCCCTTCCCAAGCCACAACGCACCCCGCCTGACGTCGGTGCTGTTGCTGCTGCTTACACCCAGACCCCCACGCTCCGAGTCCCGATGCCGATGGACAAAAGACGACAGAATAGCATTTGCAGAATTCGGTTATAACTGACGGCGACCAGCCTACGTAGGTTCCTTTTGGAATTTGGATTTGCACGAGTATCTGTCCAAAGTCAATCCAAGCATTAGCCACACAGCCTGTCGCCCAACAATGTCCCGACGGTGCACATCGTGAATCCCTTGGCATCCAATATACATGCATACGTACATACACGATAGGCGCTTCCCCAGATTTCCTGACGTAGTCCTGTGGAGCCCCCGAGATTGATGTCCCTTTTGGCATAGCGTCGTGCTATGAATGATACATTTGTTCGGAGCAGGACAGAAGTACGGTACTCTAGTAACAGAACAGCCCAACCTCACTTGGCCAGCTTGAGGGTGAGGACCAGCAGACATATATATGCTGAAATGCTCAGTGCTGTCAGGGCGACAACAATGTTTCCGCTGGTGCGAAACTTCTTGTGGCGTAAACCGTCGGCACCGACTTCGGAGAAGAACTGTCTGTTTCCTGTCGACTATCAGCACCCAAAGTGTATAGGCACATGCACAGTTTCGTCATAACACTTACCTTGCTGGCGACGGAATAGACTGGTGAAGAGGATACCGACCCCATAGACAGCGAACAGCGCGCCAATCGAGTAGAACTCGGCGGTGAAGATCTTGAGCACGATGAGCGCAAACGAGAACTGGCCTATTGCGGTCCGCACATAGGCGCCCTCAAACGTGCGCTGGGCCGCCCGAATCTCAACCAGCTCATCGCTTGTCAATACAACGGAGCGGGCGCGATGTAGATGCAGTCGGTATCTGTCTGCTGCGTGACGGCTCTGATCCACGGTCAGTCACGGCGGGTTGTCAGTAGGCCCGTTTGTCCTCACTTCGAACATGGTCGGTGATGCAGAACACGCAGCACAGGGAAATATGGATTGTGGGTATGGGTATGGCCACTCCCAGTGTTCATCCACGGTGAGTGCAGAGGGTAAGCCGTTGGTGATGGGTGACGTAGCGGGGCTCTACTATGCCTGTTCACCGAGGTTACGCTGCGCGGCGCGTCCTGTTAGACTTCCCGACGATACGCGTTACCACGTCGTTGGTTGATTAGAACGAAGATCTCTGTCGGTTTCTGATGACTCTCGCCAGAGAAGCTTGTTTGTAATGCAGGTGTTTCTTTTTGCGTGTTGTATCCGGCAGACTGGATAGCGGCTCGAGATGGAGTGCCCACCACCTGTGAAGCTGCTGCTGCTGCTGCAGGGTCCCCGCAGTCCTGGGCTTGTCACTCCCGCAACTGGCAGACACAGCAGTGTGCCGGCCTGCCAGTCGCTATTCTTCGCGCCCACAAAAGCGCACTCTGCAATTCACTGCGACACTGAGATAACACTGCATGCTCCGTCTTGCCGGGTTATCTCTTATCCGGCGCGTCGCTGCTCTCTCTGCTCACGCCAACGCATGGTAACCCTCCTCTCCCGCCCACGCCGCGGCCTCGATATACATGGCCGTTTGCTGTTGCAATCGCAAGCTAATGTTGGAATCATAGGGATACCAAAGCCTGCCACTACAGTCCCACGAGCTCCGTGCGCACACTTAAGACCCGGAGATTGCCTTGCCCTCTCCAGCGCCTGTATTCCACTTGGGAAGATCACCCCGATACCATACTCACAGAGGAGGGATCAATGGCAGGTACCCCATCCGCAACATCAGCGACATCGAGTGCGAAGCGCAGAAGCGGCCCCCTCAAATTCTACGCTGTCAAAGCCGGGAGAGTGCCAGGCGTCTACCAGAACTGGGAGGACGTGCGCCAGCAGACCGAAGGCTTCAACAACCACGAGGGTGTGTAGCGTCAATTCACGTGCCGATCTCGTACTGACGCTTAGCTAGTGCAGTCGTTTTCCACATATACCGACGCAGAAGCATTTGTCAAAGGGACCCTCGTCAAGCGACCTAAGCCCCCGAAGCCAAAGTTTTACGGAGTAGCAGTTGGACGCGTGCCCGGTGTCTACACAGATTGGCCAACTGTAGAGTCGCATACAAAGGGATTCAAAGGCGCAAAGCATCAAGGATTCGCCACACGCGAAGAAGCGCAGGCTTTTGTCAATCGGGCTAGGAAAGGTTCCAGTGCGCCCATAAGCTTACAGGGTCACTTATCTGCCGCCTCATCAGTAGCGGTGGACAAGATGGAGCCGAGTGCTGAACATGCGCCCAAGCGACAGAAACGGGAGCACGCGCCGCCTGCAACAACTTTGACCAACGGAGATCACAAGACTGAACCGGGCATGGGGCCCCTTCCGCCTGGCGCAGTAGATGGCTTCGACCCGACGATAAAATTGGATGAAGCTGCGGGCAACATCAGAGCAAAGACTGCAGATGAACTCAGTGCAACCAAACAACACCCAACAGGAAATTTCAAGGGCCCGCTGGTAGTACATACAGACGGAGGCTCCAGAGGAAACGGCAAAGTAGGCGCCAGAGCAGGCGTGGGTGTCTACTTTGGCCCCAGAGATCCCAGGTTCGTGTATAGTGGTGCCACGCAGTATGCAAAATCTGATCGTGACTGCAGGAACGTTGGAGAACCTTTAAGGGGAGAACGACAAACCAACCAGCGAGCCGAACTTGTCGCCATAGCCCGGGCTCTCGATCATGTGCCAATCGACCGTGATGTCGAGATTAGAACAGATTCATACTACTCTATCCGTTGTCTGCGCGAGTGGTTCCAGAACTGGGAGACCAAGGGCTGGAGAAATGCAGCTGGCAAGAGCGTGGAGAACAAAGAACTCATTCAGCCAATACTTGCGAGGATACGAGAGCGTTTGACATGCAAGGGCAAGACAACATTCGTCTGGGTCAAAGGACACAGCACTGATATAGGCAACATCGCAGCCGACGCCTTGGCAAACGAGGGCATGGATAAATGGACTCCAGAACTGACGTCAGGAACTCCGTTCGACATGTCGGAAACTCTCAGAACAAAGTATACTCTGCCATCACTCACCAAGCCCAAGCAAGAAGACGATGATGAGTTTGGCGAGGATCCGTTCAAAGATTATTTCGACGGCTTAGAAGCAGAGAGGATGGCGAATGAGTTGGTAGAGGATGCGGATTCAAGAACTTCTACTCATTAATGGGTCCATACAGAAGAGTATCGAGGGAAAGCTGGTCTGACCATATGAACCTGGATTGACGATTTACAATGTCGTCTTCTCAAATAGCGAGTTGCACCGGTTGCTATATGCTGTGTCAACGGGAATCTGGAGCCTAAAAGGCCATGATATATGATAATAGTAAAGAACAGAACAGATGCAAACAAGATTACTGGTGTACATGCCAGTCTTCCACCTCCGTTGAGACCAAAAAAAATACTTGAGGCCCGGAACAGGATTGTGTTGCCATGAACAAAACACCGATATCGAATGCTATCCCAACTGCTATCAGAGGCCCTAACCACCAAGCCAACGGCAACGAATCGCACTACCTTCTGCGCACATGTATTAGGTAAATCTCTAGCGCATGCATAAGCACTCTAAGTACTCTGCACCAATCATGAGAAAGATTCATCATGCAAAGTTCCACCAACACATCGCCTAAAATCGTTGTATCAGATGCATTGCGATGTTAAACTTTCCAAGATCGTTGCAAAACATCGTTGGTCATACATCGGACCGTGCTTGCGAAAATTGCGTTATCACCGCGTAAGCACCGAGTAACAATCTCTGAGCACATCCTCACTACCGTGACCCTCTACCAGTAGGGACCAAATCGGCGATCTTCTACATTGAGCTTTGTGCAGATAAGACGCGGATTGTAGCGTATCTTTTTGCCTTCCAAGCACTTTCAATCCCCGCCATGAATGTCAATGGTAGCCTGAATGCTAGAACACTAGTACAACATTGCCTACATGAGCTTTTGAGCACATTTAAAGCAATTAACTGTATGACTCTAGCGCTCTATATCAAATAGCTTAAACTCCACGATACGAGATCGTCGCTCATCAATGTCACAGTGAACATCCCCCTAGTGCCTTGGTATGTAGTAAACTACGTATGCCGCCCGCCCCACTGAATGCATGCATGCATCATACCCTGTACCCCGAATCAAGCGTTTATGTAACATATCCCGTATTATATGTCTACCCCCGTCTCACTCATTCCCGCAGAATTCTCATCTGAATTTATTCTGATTCTTACCACAACCCTCCATCTACACACGTAAAACCACACTCCCTCACCGAGACCACGCAAGCCATTTCACCCCACCCGCCCGGCACGCGGGACCATCTAACCCAGCATATCACGACCTACCCACCACACCCACCGGATCCCACATCTCAACCCTCCCTCCAACCGCGGCCCGAAAAAGGCCCACCCAAACCAAAACCGCAAAAAAAAACCCCCCACATACAACAAAAATGCCCCATCTCCTACCCCCACAAAGTTATGCCTTCCTCCCACGCTTCCACGACCACCACCATCGTCACCGCCGACAATCCTCCACAACCACCCCCATCTCACCACCATCATCCCAAATGTCCCTCACAACCCGCACCCTCACCTACGTCATCGCCTTCATAATCACCTTCACCCTCGTCCTCTTCCTCCTCTCCCTCTTAAACTTCTACACCACACTCTTCACCTGCGCCGCTGGCCAGCAACTCCACATGCTCTTCCACGCGAGCGTCGTCGGCGCCACCGTCCTCATGGCGACGCTGGTCGCGGATGATCTCGTCGCCAAGGCGCTGAGATTGCACGGGGTAGGGTATCGGAGTGGGGCGGCGGCGGATGCGGTGTTGATAGGCTTGTTTTGGGCGAATGTGGGTGTTGGCGGAGGTGCTTGGGGGGTGCAAGTTGTGAAGGGGTGGGTTGAGAGGGGGCTTTGGAATTCCTTTATCGGCTTTTGAGCATGTTGGTTTATTGTAAGGGTTTGGATATTTGGGCTAAGGCGTTTTTTGGGGGGGTATGGGGCGTGGATGTGGAAATTGGGTATTTGGAGGAAAAGAGATATACGTGCGAGTGATTGCCAGCATGCCTTCTCGTACCCGTCTAATTGGCTTGATGCATCGGCATGAGATGCAGATTGGGTTCGGAGAATTTCGGAAGCCATGTGTTTGGCAACGAGATTGGTAGGTTCAGTCTGACTACCTAGAGCTTTTGTTGTTTGCACTGCAATCTAGACATTCTGCGCAAAACATGCCAGCCAAGAGAATCCCTAGGAATGAGGCCACACATGACAGCTTTACCACCGAACGATGAATATTACATCTAGATAAAATCGCACCTATTGTGTTTCAAGGTGGAACCGACCTGGCAGTTCTCCAAATCAGTGTTAGCAAAATTTTATCTTCGTTCTACCTTGCCGATCAAGTGCAGCGTACATCCTCGTTCCGACCCGAAAAATTCCCCGCACCCCACACTCTGCTCCACTCCACCGCAGAACAAAAAAAAGCAAAAAGAAATGGAAACGTTCATTGCCAGCAGCCGGAATTGAACCAGCGATCTTCGCATTGCCCGGTTTGCTGAGGTACAAGTGCGACGCCTTACCACTTGGCCATACCGGCGATCGTGCTGAACTTTTGCAACTTCAAAGATTTGGGGAATAGAATACTATATATCTTATCTATTAACCTGTAGCGCGATAGAAGTGTAATCAGACATCACTGGAATCTCACGCACACCTGACCTAAGGATACATCGATTCAATTACTACGTGCTAATCTTAGCCACACTATCCACCAAAAACCTCCGCCACTCTTCATCGCCCAACACACTCCTAACCCTCGCCTCCAGCCACTCCGTATTTCCCCAGAATCCCCAACTCGCCTGGAACCGCAGCCAGTCCACCAACGCTATCTCCCAATGCCTCACAAAAATAGCCCAGTCGTATTCTCGCCCACCGGTCTCACACAGCCTCTCCCAGTACCGACGTAAAAGCTGCTCTTCGCCTTCCTGCATCGCCAGCTCCTGCGGTACGTGTTCATCCGCAACAAGCATGGCGAGCGGAACGGAGCAGGTAAAGTATTTTGCGAGATCGCAGACGCCGAGACCGAGGCCTGTGTATTGGAAGTCGTAGAATGCAACTTGGTCTCCCGATGTGCTGGTGAAGAGGTTTTCAGATTTTACGTCGCCGTGGATGAGGGTCTGGTATTTGGCTATTGATGGGTTTTGTGTTGTTTGGGGCGCAAGGAAGAGGGCTGCCATTTCGGCGATGGAGAGGTCTTCGTCGTTTGTGCGGCGGGTGAGCGGAATGCCCCATTCGGAGTGGTGGTCCATGGCCAGAGAGGTGTATTCTTTTCGTCGTGTTGTGAGGTATGTGTATCCACCGTTGAGCCAGACGCTCCTTTCCTCGGTGTCTTGGTCCTTGCGCTGCACTTCCTCGATTGGGGGTTGTACAAGCGATGAGGGTGTCAAGTTTTGCACGCGCGACCACCAGAAGCCGTGGAATCCGGAGAGCCAATCCAAGGCAGAAAAGACTTGGGTTTGCGAGAGCACTGCGCGTTTCTCGCCCGCAATGGGATACTGCTGCTTGAGATCACTTAGTAGCATGGCTGTTATCGAGGTACCGTCTTCGTTCTGCTTGTTGATGCTTGCTACGCATTTGGCAACAGGAAGCGAGTCTGGCATCTGAGGCGCGAGATGAGTGTAGAAGTACTGTTCTACTTTGTAACTCAAAATCTTCCTCGTATGCCCCTCATCGTCTGCCTTTGTCGGAGGAGGCGTAACAAGTTTGAGAACAAAAGACTGGTGTTCTGTAGATGAGGCAGCATCCGGAATAGCATTGACTCGGCATATCTCGCCATATCCGGCCCATAATGACTGGATACGTTCGAGAGACTCGACTTCTAACCCTTTTTCGGCGAGAAGGGCAGCTGCTGCTTCCTGCGCTGATAGCTGTGCTGGCATTTCATGTATAGAAAGCTGTACGGGGGTATCGAGAAAGTTGTACAAAAAGATGGCGATGCAAGGTACGAGAAGGTAGAAGAGAAATTGCGGTGAAGGTATGGTCATTCGAGGAATGAGCTTGACGAATGAGAGTCTCTGTGAGAAAAGAGAGTGACAATGAGGTCGAACACGACTACATCCAGAGAGATTAAACAACTGCAATATTAAGGATGATGTTGATAGGAGGTGATTAGCTTCGCATGTGAACAGCTGTATTCGCTGATTTTGGCTACTATAGGGCTGACATAAGCATAAGCTATTGTCCCCACATATTCCAGCGTGGCATCCGTCTTTCCATCAGCACTAGAATTGTAGTCATACCATTGCGAGAAAGTCTATTATCTTTCCAAAAAAGATAGAATATGTACGAAAGCGTGCAATTTTGATCACAGCAAATACTGAAAGTAGATGTTCTCCCTGTCCGTCATGTCCTGGAGGCCATTCTCGCCGTGCACGTCATCTTCAGTCACTTGTTGGTGTCCGCTCATGGAATAATCGACAGGGTTCCTCGGAAGACCAGCTGCCTCGCGCTCGTCACACTTCTTCTTCTGCATCCACGTGATGACAACAATCTGCAGAACCACGACACCCCAGAGGATGCACCAGATCGCGAGAATGCCTTTGAGAGCATTGTGCTAGATGACTGTTAATAAAATGCTACTCATGTGTATGACAAATGGAAGACTTACGTATTGTGGAGCAAACTTATTATTGAAAATGTATGGGGTAATGATGTTACCAATGGCGTTTCCAGCGTTGAAAGAAGTATAATAGACAGCCTTCTTGGTTTGTCCGGCACAGTTTGCCCCCATCCAAGAAATGAGCAATGGATTGATCGCATAGACAAATGCAATCAGATAGTAACCAGCGAGAAGTCCTCCTTTGTTTTTCTTCTCTTTTGGAAGAGCAACAAGTAGAGAGACACCGACAATGACGATAGTAACAAGCGTAAGCAGGAATGGAGACTTGCGCTTGAAACGGTATGCCAGCCATGAGGCAAGAAGAATAGAAATAAATTGAAGTGCTCCGAACGGCATGTTGAGCAGAACAGCTTCGTCTGGCGTGAAACCAGCCAGGTTTTGGAGAATAATGGCACCGAAGACGGATGAGACGGCAGCACCAGCGTTGACGGAAATGACCATGATCATGTATAGCCAGTACTTGGGCTCTGTCCAAGCCTCAAAGACGTGGGACCAGTTGAACTTATGCGAGATAATACCCTGTTGGTTTGCCTTGAGTCGTTCAATAGCCTTGAGGCGGTCTTCGGGTGAGAGGAAACGGGCCTCTCCAGGGCTGTCGTGAGCCCACCAGTAAGTGGTCAGGCCAATGCAGATAGTCAACAACCCAAAGAAGAGGTAAACAACCTGATAGCGATATAGATGATGAGAATGAATTCGACCAAACCCATAGACAATAGGAGCGCTGATCAGCGTGCTCAGCCCATAACAGCTATACCAGCATGCAACCCGGAAAGGCTGTTCGGAACGCCTGTAAAAGGCGATTGTGATCATCGAGAAGAGAGGAACGACTGCTGCTTCGAATGCGCCGAGGAAGAATCGAGATGCCATGAGTCCACCGTAGTTCTTTGATGCTGCAAGACCACCAGCGACTGAGATGCCCCAGCATGTAATGATGACTGGCAAGACGTGTCGGTATCGAAGCTTGACCAGCACCCATGCTGCCAAAGGCTGCACACCGAGTTGGGCGTAGTAACCAATGTTTCCAATGTTGGAGTAATCATTTCCCTTGAGATGCGCGTCGGTCTTCAGTCCATAAACAGCTGTCAAACCAATGATTCCCTTATCGGCGGACTGGAGGAAGTAAACCATGCAAAGGAGAGACAGCATCCAGATATCCGTCTTCCGCAGGATGCGTTTGTTGTCTTCTTCGGTGCAGATGACAGTTTCTCCAAGTGCTGGGGCCTTGCCCTCCTCGTAAGCAACGATACCGTCCATGGAAACTTTGGAGGTATGGTCGGCGGCCTCTGACTTTTCAATAGCGGAAGCCATGGCGCTAGAACGATTGCCAGAAAGAAACGAAGAAGTAAAGTAAGGTGGATATGGGGTTAAACTGGGGTCATGGGTGTGGGGTAGTCCATTTATGTCTATCGACTTATTAAGTAGCAGCACAGACCTTGCTGACACGGAAGAACAGTGATACGGACGGAAGTTTTCCCTCCAACAAGTCAGTAGGCTAGGATCAAGGAGTGTTAGGTTTTGTCGGGCTCGCCAGGGGTAGGGATGAGGCGCTAGTAACATGGCCAATGATGATGATGCTATCAGACACCAACACCGACCGGCTAAATCAATATACCTAGATGTATTCGTGATCCGGGGGGAATCTGCAGCGGGTGAGGCCGGACCTCTAAGCAACGAGAATGGGAGTGCTCGTTGAAGAGACGGAAATGATAGCGTCTGTTCACTTGCCGGCGGCTATTCCATCGTCTGCCATTGTCCTGGTCGCTTACACCATGTGTTCATCGCACGTAACAATAAGAGTCTCGCCACGGTGGCTTATGAGCAGGTACATTCTGACAAGTGAGATGACTCGTGCTACCTGCCGACCCGTTCGGTCGCACTAACACATGGTACCGAAGACGTGATTACTTACTGTTTACCCGCTGCGAGAATTACGAACTGTCTATTAATACTGTCGTACCCACAGTTCGCGTTCTTAGGTTCTCAACTTAAACCAACGTCCGACATGTTGATGTCGAAAACAAGACTCCCATACACATACAAGGATCTCTTGACTGCAACAAGCTTTTTGCCAAGGGTGCACACGGGACCAGACGGACGCGCGTGGCTGGAGTCTTTAACCGGCCGTGCTATCGCTTACTACGCCACCAATCTCTAATTCTCCGCCGCAATGACAAAGTCATCTCCCAATCCCGGGCCTGTGCACTACTCATCATAAAGAGCCATGACACGTTGAAGTGAAAGAACATAGATCTGGAGCTGGAGGGGGTAGGAAGAGATGTTTTTTCGACGACCTTCTCTTGGCAAGAAGAGTGGGTTAACGACAACCGATGGATACGGACGGCACAGAAGCCTCGGCGCAAACCCACCCAGCGCAGAAATAATGCGGGGTAAACATCGTGACGTACGCTGTCGTTGCAGGCATTCCTGTACATTGTGAAAAGAGTCTTTTTACTACAGACTTGAGCAATTGGGATATTGGCTGAAAAACGACTGTTTGGTGCGACAGCAAATCACCATGGATCCCAAGAACACCGCGAACCAGCGCTTAACACAGATCAAAGACTCATTAACGATGGAAAAAACCGCCGCGAGCATTCCGTGGGACCCGAACAGCACCAAATTTCCCACGCGAAAGGAACTTCCAGACGTTCCTGGCGCCCCCAAAGGAGCCGCTTGGGTCTGGGGCGACAATGACAACGTATAGTAGTTTCCACCCTTAATACAACACCACTAGGCTGATCCGCGACAGATTGGACGCCTGAACCTTCTTACACCGACCCGCGTAGCTGCAGCAGCTAAAGAGATCAAGTCTGGCGAGATAGTACCCGTGAAGTAAAGATCACACAGCATACCCTACTGGATCCACGTTGACGAAAACAGCCTACCTCTCAATGTGCCCAATGCACCAGCATTCGGCCGTCAACCCTTCAAGCACGAAATCAAGACTCTAGTCGAAGGATTGGCCTACGATGACGTGTACAACCTGAACACTCAAAGCGGCACACAATGGGACGGCTTCCGCCACTTCGCCCATATGGCAAGCGGTACCTTCTACAATGGCGTCCGTTTTCTCGTTCCCTCCTCATAGCCACACCGGACTAACAATCACCTCAGACAAAAGGCAGCGACATCTCTGGCCCGCATGCCAACCACAAATGCTCGATCCACCACTGGGCTGAACATGGCATCGCCGGCCGCGGCGTCCTCCTCGACTACAGAAGCTACGCCCACAAAAAAGGAATCACTTACGACCCCTACGACTACCACCCCATCTCCTTCGAAGACCTCTACAACTGCGGTAAAGACCAGGGCATCGATATCCGGCCCGCAGCTCAAGGCGGCGACATCAAACCCGGCGACATGCTGTTCGTCCGGAGCGGCTGGAAAGAAGCATATGACGGCAAGACGGATGAAGAACGAGCTAAAGCTGTGGTGCCCCACGATGACGGCAAAGGAGGAGCGGATGGACATCGGTTTGCGGGGTTAAGTCAGGAAGAGAAGATTTTGGATTGGCTGCATGATTGCTATTTTGCGACTGTTGCGGGGGATGCGCCAGCTTTTGAGGCGTGGCCTACACATGAAGGTATAGTTGAGATTTACACAGTTCTTGGCGAGGCCGAGGAGTGCCTTTTTGGTAGTACATCGGAGCTAACGGGGGTGCAGAGTACTATCTTCACGAGCACATACTCGCGCTTTGGGGTATGCCGCTGGGCGAGATGCTGGATCTAGAGAAGTTGGCGCTGACGTGTCGGGAGAAGGGGAGATGGTTCTTCTTCTTTTCTTCCGCGCCCGCGAATTGTCCTGGTATGTTGTATTTCGCATCGCGTTGGCTCCTTCTTCATACTAACTATTCTACAGGTGGAGTCGGCTCTCATGTAAATGGTACGGCAATCTTTTGAGTAGAAAAAAAGGCAGCTCAGATGTAAATTTTGTACTATCAATCAGCATCAAGATGGATGGGGTCGCTCTTAGAAACATCCTTCACATGAAAAAAAAAACAATGCAAACGGGGAATTATCGCAAGAAAATTCTCGCTTATTAAACCTTCCTGCACACACAGCTTTTTATGCAAATTTTTGTCTTATCCTGAGATTTGCGCCAATGCTTTAAGCTGCAGGTGCGTTTCAGTGTACGTTCTTGATCCGCCCACCAGAATAGACAGATAATCAGAGTTTGAGCGCGTTGCCTAGGGTAGCCTAGCTATAATCTATTGGCGGCTATGCCTTAGAGTTCATTCGACGCATAAATGAAATGCCTGCTTCTCAGCACGGGTCGTGAGAACCGCTGCTATTGGATAATGGCATGCCTTGATCACGCGTATTTAATGCACGTTGATATGCTTGGATTCGTCATACTAAGGCGACATTGCAGTGCTAACCTCCTCCCATTAGGAAGCGAACGGGCAATGCGTCGCGAGAGACGACAAGTACCGGGATATTATAGCAACGTGAATATGTTCTGGCATCGTCGTTGTTATAAAGAAACTAGAAATGTAATTCATTCAGTCCTACTCTATATCTATTCTACGCTTTACCTTGAAATTTTACAAAAGTCGTAACTGTAGTGGCTTCGCTGTGCCTTGATGTTCATGTAAAAAGCATGATATCTAGAGGCAGTTATCCGCCCGTCTCGTTCTTTTGAGATGCTTGATATACTCCAACAGCTTTGTATCATTGGTTACTATGTCTACCCTTTCACAACAATAAACTAGCCAGACATTGATTGATACTGGTCCAATATGGGGTAGATGTGAAATCTCAGATTGGGGACAAGTAGCCTTCGAGCGCAATCTGCCCTGTTGTGGTGGATCTTTGATGTATGCTTGGGCTAGCTTGATTAACTGAGGTGGCTTGGCCTTGTGCAAACCAATTCCGATGAAATATTGCTCGAGAGCTTCAGGTGATGCTTTCGAAAGTGCTTCTGGTGTTGGATATACTGCCAGACACTCTGAGGCACGTTGACAAGCGACATGTTGGGTGGTACGCTGGATGAAGATGGTCGCGACCAAGAATCGGAACTACACAGAGACATCAGATAGGCAAAAGCTCATGCGCACTTGATCTTACCTGGTTATCCTTGAACTGTAGAAGGGGATATTTTGAAGTGATATTCGCTTGTTGAGCATTCTGGGATATTGATCGCGGAACGGTTTGCGAGCTCGAGATGCTGCTGGCGGTCGTTTCCTGGGACGAGCTCATAACGGAGATATCGCTAACTTCGCGTGACAATGCAGGCGTTGATGGTAATGAAGTCGGCGAAGATGAGATTTTTGTTTCCGCCAACAAGTCCTTGATATGCTCGAGTTCCTTGGCGATAATTTTAATATCTGCCAGGCCTTGGGATGAAGTATCGTTTGCTAGCTGAGCCGGAGACTCTCCTCTGTCACTGGAATTATTCGTGGTTTCTGATTGGACCTCGAATTCTTGCTTGACCTTGTAACACTGCCTGTCATATGTTTCTAGATTTTTGCTTGTCTTCTCTACTGATTTGAGAACCTCTTGATTCATGTCATGGAGGTCATACAACAGGTCGCTATTTAGTGTTAGTGATCGTCAAAAGTGTTTCCGGAAAGCCTACCTCTGCAGCTGATCCTTAAATTCAAGCATAATGGTCTTAGTCCTATCCAAGCTTGTCCTGAGCTTTTTCATTTGATTGATCTTGGTTGCAAATATGATTCGCTTACGTTTTCCATCCACACGATACGCATCCAGCTGCTTGTTGAGATCTTCGACGCTTTCCTGAGCGTGACCAATTGCACGTGCCAATCCTGCGCTTTCTCGAAGTCGCTTATCTCGCTCGTTGCACTGTCGGACTACTTCCGTGATTAAGACTTCTACTAATTCAAGGTCGATCCTCATTTCGCGAATATCCTTGGGGCAGTCCTTCATGTTGGTCGCGAAGTCATACAGAAATTTCAGACCTTGTGCAGCAGTGCCTGCCAGGCTGACGAAACTGACCATCGCAGCGCCAGCTTCCATGACGATACCTAAGAAGGATTCTTTTTCTCTGGTTAGTATGGGAGGTAAGAAAAATGGAACATTGACTTATGGTGTTGTTTAGCAGTTGATTATATAGTCGCGACAAGTCACCTTGCAGGTAGAGGCAGTCTGTGGAGGCAGTGCATCCCAAATCGTTGACCGGACGCTGACCGGCCACAGCGGGGCAAAGAGCGCTGGGCGTTGCAACGTACGTAGTCGTCATTTGGCAATCAGGGGAGCGTAGATTGCTAACAGTAGTATCGAGCGACATGTTGCTCTTGTAAGTTGTATCGAGTAGTAAGAAACTTCAGCGTCATGTTGCATAAAATTGTTAGTTTTGTCTTGCAATTGGACCATCGTCATTGATTTTCAACTAAACTAGTATAATTAGATGGGATTGCAGCGCGCGCAGCGAGGTCTGTAACACCCTATGCGTGCTTAAGTAATTTAGTATTAATTTTCTACTACGGATCGCGAGGATCAGTCTGTTCCCTCCCAACAGTAACTGAGCATGTCGAATGCGACAACGCTACGGGGAAGAAATCGAGTCATGCTAGAGTTGAGCTCACCTTGAACACCATGCTAATGCATTCACACTTTTAAGCTGTGGTATATGGCAGATTATATGGAAATCCAAACAAGCGTTTCCGACCATTCAACTTTTATGACACACCCGACCCAATAACCACTATCAATTTTCCCAATATACCGTCTACAAATCCTTGTTGAGATACTCAACAGGTCCAACATACACCTTGCGCCCCTTGATCGCAAAGTAAATGAACGAAAAGATGACAACGACGCCGTAGATCAAGATGTTCCAGTTCATGAGCGCAGCGGTTGGGTGAGGGAAAGTAGGGAAGAAGACAAATACAAGCGCGATACACAGATACACGATAGATATGCCGTTGATCCAGATACCAGCGCGTCCGAGAGAGAATTTGCACGGAATCAGGGGGTCATTGTTCCACCTCTTGATGAACATGCACGAAATGCTAATAATGTAGGATGATAGCAGCGCGCATGTGCCGAGTGAGGCGATAGAGTTGAAGGCAACGGAACTGCCAATGTTGATAAGGGAAAGCAGACAAGCGATGAGAAAAGACATGAGAACACTGTTGAGAGGAATGTCCCATCCGGGCTGGACGCGGGAGAAGAAAGCGCTGAAGGGGACGCCGTTGTCGCGGGCAAAGGCGAAGAGCTGGCGCGAGCATGTAGCAACATTGTTGACGCAGCCAAAGACAGCCATGATGGTAGTAATCGATGCGAGGACGGTAGCGCCTGTGACTGATTTGGTTGCGTTGTACAGAACCTGGATATGGGGTTGGCCGGTTGGCGTGTTGATGACGGTGGTCACGTCACCGAGGCAGAAGCAAAAGGTGACGAGCATGAGGAAACCTAGGATGCTGTTTACAACTGCCGTGGCAATCATGGCGCGAGGCAGCGTGTAGGAAGCGTCTTTCAACTCCTCAGACATGTGGGTTGCCGCATCTGCACCCAGCAGGGCAAAGATGGGTGTCAATTGACCAACCAGCACGGATAACCCGACATTTCCCCATCCTGCATTGTCCTGGAAGCCTCCAAATACTTCTTTGGCCGGGCTGCGTGGTCCCAAAACCCACATAGTGATGAAGACGGCGAAGAAACCGAAGATGTGGAGAACTAGGACAATGCCTTCGACGAGGGGAAGCTTGCGAGCTAGTAGCGTGTTGAAGATGATGGAGAATGTGGCAACGGCTATCACGAGTAGAGTGCCGTGCCATCTTTCGGGAATGTAGTCGGGGTTGTTGAGAATCACAAGGCCTTGGATCTGGCCACCGGCCAGGTAGGCAATGGACGCGATACCCGTCTGCCAACCCAAGACGCAGAGCCAGCCGACAACATAGCTGAGGAACTTTTGGTGTTTTCGTGGAGCGAATTCCGAGACCCAGTGGTACTGACCGCCAGAGGTGGGTGCCCTTTTCGCATGTCAGTGACTGTCATAGTAACGATGGTGGCGCATTCTCATGCACTGTCTCCTTCTCTTTTGTAGAATCAGATCTACGCAGGGACTGTGCAACAATGTGCTTGTATTGCTTGCGCAAGAACCAGTAACCGCGCATTCACTTACATTGACGCCATTTCAGCCATGGACACAATCACAAATCCCATGCATACTGCTGTGATGAGGAACATTACGATGGCGCCACCGGTGCCACCATTGGTTAGGGGGATGATCAGAGTACTGGAAAATGTCAGACCACACCAAATCAATTGCACAAACTCCCTACATACGTCAAGACGGTTTCCCATGTTGCCATGAGGACCATGGAGTATCCGAAGATGGACACGAAGCGGAAGTTTCGTCGCAGTTCCTGCTGCTTTCCCATGCGGTACATGTCCTTCTGGTCGCCGACCGTACCCTTCTTCTCCGAGATGACACCATCGTGCTGGAGTTCGCTGTTGCTGGGGGATGAGACTACCGCCTCAGCAGCCTTTGTTTCCGACATGATTGACCAAAAAAAAATGACCACAAGAAGAAACGAATGGAAAGATGCAAAGAACAAGCACTGTGTAGGATGGTAAGGCGTACCGGCTGTGGCGTGGCTAAGAGTCGAATAAAATCTCCTCCCAAGGTATACCAATCTCGCCAAACCCTTAAGCAGCGCTGTCAAGATATTAATCGTATGATTAAAAATTGCGTAAAAACTGCATTTCCCATGTCGTCTGTTGCAAGCGCACATAATGCCCCATTTGTGACCGGCTATTTCCCATCGATGGGCTTAGTCTTTCGGCCGTTCCGCGTTTAGGTAGGTCGTTCTACGAGGACGACATGTCAAACCACCATGTTCAAGCCGCGTTAGCGAAGGGTCGAGGTCGCGTTGGACTGCTGCACATGCTGGGGATGCAACGACGGACGATCAATGCACAGCAAATCTACAAACGAGTGGATCCAGTTCTCCCTCGGGTCGTCAGGCCGTTGTGCAGGTGCGAGTTCTGATTCGCCCGTTTGTCCCAAGTCGCCCGCCGTGCCGCAAATCCAACCGGCCGTGGATTGCCGTGAAGGTGCAAAGGGCCGAGCAAAGAGGATTCTGCAGGATCTAGCGTGCTGTACTACTTGGTACGGAATGGAGCATGGGTGCTGTGAAGTAAAGGGTTCGGCAGGGGTGCGGGCCGGGGCGAGCGGTTAGAGCCACTCTTGGTCCTCGATGCAAGCGATGCAACGTCCATCCGTCCTCCCATGTCCCGTCCTGTGTGTCGACAGACCAGCGGGCTCCTAGTCTCGCGCCGGCACACCACCAGAACGTGACGAAGACACAAACCAGCAGAGATTTATCAGGACAAAGTTCCGAAAAAATGTCTCCTGTCCCGCTGTATTTGCCGTGCCTGCGGCATGATACGGGATATATTGCGTGCCGGCTGAATGTTAGCGATCAACTACTATCGCACATTGTCCCATGTACATCTTGGCATCTGCCGCAGCAACACGCATGGTGTGAGGCTGGTAACCGTAACGCAGAAGCAACTGAAGGATCAGAGCGCTGTGCGACGGACTTTGTGTAACAACAAGATGGTACTCATGTGTCGCCGGTACCCCTTTTCTTCTACACACGTGGTCACTCTGTGATTCAGAACAACTTGATCAGCGGGGGCTTCCCGCATTCCACACTTTTTTTTGTTCACAATGGCAGCGGTAGCAGTTCCACCTGCAGATCGCAGTTATCGGTGGGCTCACATTACAGACGACGATCAAAGCGGGGTACTGTACATTGTCACGTTTCTGTCATTCACATACACCAGCCTTACGTTTCTGACGCGCATATTTATCAAATGGCGCATGTTGGGGCTGGATGATGCGGCTATGCTGCTTGCACAGGTGAGCTTACTTGTTTTCGCGTCTAAGCCTTATGTGAAACTGACGCAGATGTTAGGTGGCGGACTTGATCCAGTTCTCACTGCTACTCCTGTCGTTGTCGGCAGGACTGGCAAAGTCCTTTGGGACCTTGACCGATGAGCAGTACTCGCGCATGGCCTGGGTAAATACCATCTCTTTTGATTCGCATGGCACATTGAAACTATGTCTGATACGGTTTGAACAGGCATATTCCAGCAACCAAGTAGTCGTCTACATCTGCCTCGGTCTCTCCAAGCTCTCCACCATCCTCCTCGTCCAGCGTCTATTCACGAGAGAAATGCGAAATGCCTGGAAAACCTGTGTCTTCATCACTGGTATCATCGTTATCTGGACCATTGCCTCTGCACTCCTCGTCTCAATCGGTTGTCCCGCTGACGCTCTATCGCCGCGAACCTCTTCCCAAATATGCAATGGAATCGAAAGTCGCTATCTGTTCGTCACTGCTACAGACGGCCTAACCGACTTTGTCCTCGCCCTCACCCCTACGTACCTCATTCGCAACCTCCAAATGTCCATATCGTTCAAGCTACAAGTCCTCGGTGTCTTTGGGCTACGCCTACATCTGCTTGTACTCACTACCCTTTTTTTTCTATCTTGGAGGAAGGCAATGCATAGCGAGAACCCTGGTGTAGAGCGTGTAGGCGCATTGGAACTCCAGCAATGTCAAGTCTGTGCCTCGCTTCTGACCAGCACCATTCCTTGTCTGAAATCTTTCATTCAGAGCTTCGACACGGGAAGCGGTGTCAAACCAGGGTTCGGCTACAGCTCCAAGTCATCAGGAAAATACGGTCACGACTACACAATCTGCCACAGTGCGTCACAGTCAGCGCGGCACGAAGTGTATGATATGTTAGTATTGATGACGACCCGAACCGGAGGCTCGATATCTCCAGAATCGAGGCACGAAAGGGAGGGCATAGTACGAGCCGAGGAACGGTTATCAATAGTAGAGGAAGATGCAGTCACAGGCAACAAAAGCATAGATCTGGAACGGCGCTCCAGTCAACGAAGCACAGAACAGTTGTTCATCAGAAAAGACGTCGAGTGGACGGTGAAAAACGAGCCTGCTCGCACCGATGCAGCAGTATATGTCCCTGGCAAACTTCGCCTGCCAAAGTAAAGATCGCAAGGTCCTAATGGTAATTTAGACGAATAGACTACGATTCAGCATACCTTGTTGTGGCACTGACACGTGAACTACTGATGAGGCGTGGCGTCTTGGCTGACATCCTGCACTCATCTCAGCTACTGCTCGCAGCTTCACCATTTACTACTGATATCTCAACCACCTCTCTCCTTCCGCTGTTTTCTTTGGATCCTCCATCCCACCCTTTGCCACATCACTGCGTCACACGAACACGAACTCAACCACCTTCAAGCACAAAAAGGCACTTCAGCAAGAACGAAGCAGATGTTATCGAAACCTTGAATTCAAGCCTTCCTCTCCATCTCTACATCGCCGTACAAAACTTCCCCAAAAGCAAAGTCAAACTAAAATGACTGTTTAAAAACTCCTTATGTACCCCCTACCCTTCCTTTCTCCAATTCCCAAACTACTCGAAAATTCCAGATTAAACAAAAGCGAGCGACCAAGTCAGCATCTCCCTTCCGCCTCCATTTTCACCCCCTCCACGCCCCGCTTGTTCGTTTAGAAAACCCAAGTCTGACCCATAGTATAACCTCCTGGGCAATGCACCAGATTGTCAATGGGGTGGAAGACGGCCTCAGCATTCTTGGAGCCATCTTCGTTCTGCAGAGTAAAAGGCTGGCCGTTGTCGCAGTTGACGATGCGGTAGTGGAACGTGTTTGAGGCAACGAAGCGGCCGCCATCCCAGGCACAGGGGCTGCCGTGGCCCATGTAGGTGTAGGCGCAGGGGTCTTGGCCCTGGATCCAGACGGCCGTGTCTTTGTGACCGTCGCTGTTGTAGACGGCGTTGCCGAGGATGATGGTTGCCGAGGAGAGGGTGGCGAGGAGGGTGGAGAGGACGACGGTGGAGAAGTACATGGTGAAAGATTGGATGGAGATTTGGTGGTATGAGATCGAAGGTGAGAAGATGGTGTTTGTGTTTTTGTTTGATGCTTCTTTTGTGTCTGTTTTGCTCGATTTTATATAGACGGTTCAGTCCCTTATGCTGGCTCCACCGAAAGGCGTTCTACACGACACATTTCTCTATTCAGAAAGCACATACAGTAACTTGCCATGATAACAAACAAAACGGAAATTCATCTCGCGAACCGTCGTACCAAGTGCTTGTTGTTCTTTCCCTTTACACTTATCACACGACGAATGCGGAACGTAAGCGCACTACCCGGTCAGATTTTGGCCGCCGCTTACTGTCGATCTATTGATGACAAGACACAATCTATTTCCGTCGTCCCTATTACACGAGGAAATAAACAACAAGACATCACCCTCCCCACTCTACAAACCAAACAAATTTGTAAATCCACGACTAGAACGGCAACTTTCACAAACCCATCGCCGTCACTCCCTCTTTCCCCACATGAACAAAATATCCCCGCCTCTAACCCCATCCACTTTCAGTGGATTCCCTTCGCCCTCATGCGCATTCCCCACCACCTCATCGAACCCGCACCGTAGATAAAACCCCGGCGACTCTTCGCTCGAAACAACGCTTGCATCGACACCTTCTTCGCGCGCACGCTCAAGCCCCCATTGTACGAGCAACCGTCCGTATCCGCGACCGGCGTAAGCGGGATCCACGGCGCAGAGGGAGAGGTACCAGTTTTCCGAGTGGACGCCGGTCCAGTAGTGTTGAGTGTATTTTGCAGAGTTGGTGAGGTGGTCCTTTTTGGTGGGGTCTGCGGCGCGGTTTTTGCGCGGGGAGACGGGTGAGAAGAGAGGGGTTGGGTCAATGTGTTCTTTTATGATTTTCTGAGCGGTTGCGTCGTTGCCTTGACGCTGCCAGATGGCCATGCCGACTACTTCATCTTCTTCTTTGTCCTGTTGATGTTGTTCGGGATTCCGGGGACGCACGACGACGAAGACCCTGTTGCGCGGCGCTGCCCAGTCGCGGCGGACGACTTCTCGCCAGTAGATTTGCAAGTCGTCGGGGTACTGATCTCTATGCGGGTGCATGACTCGACCGAACAGGTCCTCATTGTAAAAGGCGCGGGCGCATAGCGCGACTATGGCTGGCTCATCCGAAGGCTGGGCGGGACGGATATACATGGTGCTGGCTACGACTCGGTCCCTTCCATCAGAATAGCAGTTTGCCCTGTGATATTAAATCTTGCCATTCTTGGGGGCCAAAGACGCTTAAATAAGCCTACAGCTAGCTACTAGTCTTTATAAAGTTAAGCCAGGAACGATCCTTCGAGGCGGCTCGACTCAGTGGGGTTACCAATAGCTCGACAAGGATTCATACATATGGATGTTGGATTCCCACGATTCCGAGGCTTGGAATTCATTCCGACTAATTACAATGTTCAAGAAGCCCGTCCCTAGTTTCATATTTTGTCTAAGCCATATTTGAGTGGCCACCAGACGAAAAGAACACTAACTCAATGCGCCATGATTATGCTGATTATCCAATAGGCTCCCAGACGAGCATCCGAATCTAAGCATGCAGGGTATCTTTTAGGCCCGTTGCACCATGGGTTGGCTCCTCATCTTCCTTGAACTCCCAAGCCAGGAACTTCCAGTTGAGCTCATTTGGTCGCCAAAACAGGCCGTTCTTCAGACTGGTGGGGGCCGTCGATGAGTTATCCGGGCTATCTGCCGTCATGCCTCCGGTGTGTGGCATACGTTTAGCGAAAATGCATCGCCTGAACCTTGAGTGTAGAATGGCCATTGAGCACATGACACAGGGCTCGTGAGTCAAGTAAATGTCTAGGTCGACGCATAAGTAGCCGCTAGAATGTATGTTGTTGGTCTCGAAGTATTCTTGCTCAATTGAAGTGAGGGGGCTGTCGCAGAAAAGTGGGCGGTCTAGATATACGGGATCAGTGCCAGCAGCGCGGAGTCGCTTCTTTGCAACCATGGCGATGGCACGCAGAACAGAGTGGGCCATGACGTTGCCGGTGCCAGTGTGGGGTTCGGTTGTGCCAGTGAAGGACCTCCAGCGGCAGTCACCTGCTACAACAATGATTTCGGGCTTTGTCTTGGTGTGGTCGACGACGACAACGCCGATTTCCTCACCTAGACATTGGTCAGATATCTGCACGCCAGCAAGCCTCGCTAAGCCAAGATAGGTTCCCGCTCCGGGCTGGATTTCGTCCTGGTTGCGTTGCACGAGGCTGGGATGGGGGCCATAGGGATTGGTGTTCTTGTACGAGATGGGCCAGTATGCATTGCTCCACTGCGCGGCCTGGTCTGCGGAGATGGGCGCCAGGGCTGGCACCGTCACATGAAAGATGCGCGGGAGAGCAGTCTTTGCGTCATAGGGCGGACATGTGCGTATGATAGCTACGAGGTCGGCACGGCTGAGATAGTGCGTGGGACACAGCAAAAAGTAGCGAACTAGATCAAAATGTTCAGTAAGAGCTTCGTCAGCAGTCTGAGCACTGCCTGATTGTGCAGGAGAGGATGTAGGAGAGGAAGATAAAAATGCTAAGGCAGGATCATCTTCGTCACCTCTCGGGAGCCTGGTCGGCGGATAGAAATCCTTTTGCAGATGCGGCGGCAGGTACTTGAACTGCACGACGCGGCGCAAGTGCGAGATCTCGGACGTCTTGAAGTCGGGCAGGGCAGCTTGGACGGCACTGCAAAGTTAGTAGACGAGTCGGAGCACATGCACAGCGAGTGAATCTCTCACTCCTTGATGGCATTGGCAAACTTGGCCGGCACCTCGACTACATAGACCGGGTGTGTCTCCAAGCTGGCGCGCACTTCGTCCTTGGTCCGCAGGGGGACCAGACGGCCCGCGAGTGCGCTTTGGGTGTTCATAACACGGCCTGGTGGGTGGAACTATGCTCAGGCGGGCGAAAGTAGTGCTTTGTGCTGAGCTGAGCGGTTGAATATTTGCAGATTGTGTGGATTAAATTTGGGTTGGCGGAAGAGAGCGACAAAAGAAAAAAAGTCGAAAGCAATCAACCCCAATCTCAGGGTCCAGCGGGGCGGCGCTGCCTCTCCCCCGGTCTTGGCCTTTCCCCCATTCACCCAACCCCCACCCGTTCGCTCTTCACCACCTAGTATGGAGGGTAGGAGTACATCGCCATTGCACTGTGTTCAGACCATTGGAAGGCAAGGCCAGCCCGCAGAAGGGAACGGAGGCTGATGATCAAGAGCCCGGAACAAAGGCATTCTTCCCCGCACTACCATGGCAGCAGGGAAGTGCCAATCTTCCCCCAGTACGGACTCCTGCATGCAGTGTTCCCCAAAATGCGGCAAATGTCACCCAGACGACTAGTAACCTTCCTGTAACCCCAGCCGTTGTCGTTTGCCGATATGCAAGGCTGTGGGGGGAAATGCCCGTAGCACTCGCCCGCATGATAGGCTGCCTAAGGCATGCCCATAGATAGTCTAGTCCTGCTGCAGTACATCCACAACCACTCCATAACCACGTGGAACTGTCTTTCCTCTTCTTACCCCTCCTCGACGTATCGTGTTACAATTCCAAGTGAGCGGCCATGGATGATAAGACAGAAACTACTCATGTCGAGGTTGCCAACAGCCGCACTGCGCACATCGTGCCCATCGACCAAGAAGCAAACGAGGACGTCAAGCATGTCAACCTCTCTTGGCGATCATGGGTCGTTGTTTTCTGCTGTTGCTTTGCGTACGTTGTATACTCTCAATCTGCCGGAAAGTAGTCTTACATTCAACCCAGGGTCATGTCGCAGGTCTTTGTCGTCGTGGCTGCAGGTTCAGTCTTGTCTTTTATCATTCGCGAGCTGGGCGAGCCTGCAATTGCTAGCTGGATCATTCAAGTGTGTAACTCAACATATCAATACTACGACGTCGAAGATTAATCAAAACAAGGGCCCACTGCTCATGCAATCAGTCCTTTCGCCCCCCGTCGGCCGTCTCTCAGACGTCTTGGATCGCAAGTTATTTGTCACTATACCACCTCTGATAGCATGTGTTGGCGCCATTATTTGTGCCAAAGCCACCAGCATGTCCATGTTGATTGGCGGTGGTATCCTCATTGGCACCACGCTTGCTACAATATCAATCGTCCAATCCATTCCCTCTGAGATCCTTCCGTTGAAGTATCGCGCGTTGGCAAATGGACTTGCTGGAGTTGCTGGTGTAATGGGAGGCACGTATGTTGTGCTCCATCGTCCAATTGCAAAGGTCTTTGTCACTGACAAACTTGTAGTGTTGGTAGTTTAGCAGCAGGGGCTGTCACAAACCTCAGCGCTTCAGGGTGGCGCTATATCTTCTGGATTCAAGTTGCACTTCATGGCATCACATCACTAGGCCTTTTCACATTCTATTGGCCTAAGAAACGTACAGACTATCCACGAATGCGCTTCAAGGAATGGGCATGGGCTTGTGATCCTATCGGCTCCTTTTTGCTAGTTGCTGCTGCCACTCTGATGCTCCTTGCTCTCAACTGGGCAGGTGGCGCATATCTATGGAGCGATCCGCATGTATGTGCAAACTTGACCTGCGGAATCGTTCTCTTCATAGCCTTTTGTCTCTACGGTAAAGTCTCCCCAATACTCTTAACGAGACCTTATTAACACACCCCAGAATGGAAAGGAAGATCAGACGGCATCGTCGCCCACGTCTTCTTCTCTACCGGCCCTAACTTCTGGCTCTCAACTTTCGCCTTCACAATCGAAGGCTGGATCTACTACTCCGCCATCAACGCCGTCACCCCACAAGTCATCCTCAACCTCGGTTTCGAAGACGACTCCTGGAACATCGCAATCAGACAACTGTCCTACAAAATCGCTTCCATCTTCACTTCCCTAGCAGTAACGTGGTGGGCCACTAAATTCAAAGACCTAAGTTCGTCTTTTCCCCCCTACCCCCCTACCCCTCCTCCAAGCTAAACAACACCCCCAGAAACGCCCTTAGCAGTAACTTTCACTATAATGCTGATCGCATCCATCTGCTTCGCCTTCATAAGACCCTCCTGGGGCACCCTCCAAATCGTCTTCACAGCTCTCACCGGCATCGGTTGCGCAGGCCCCCTAACCCTCATCGTCGCATGCATCCAGTACACCGCGCCCCACGCCTTCCTCTCTACAGCAACCGGCCTCGCCTTCTCCGCTCGCGCCATTGGCGGCTCTTTCGGCACCGCTGTCATCTACGCTATCGTGAATTCTCGTGTGGCCTCGCACCTCGCCCGCGACGTTGGATCTGCTGCCACAGCCGCTGGCTTACCCGCTTCTTCCGTACCCGCGCTTCTCTCTGCCATGAAAGGCAAGTCCGCATCGTCGTTCAAGGTGGATGCTGTGCCTAGTGCTAATGAGGCGATTGTTGCGGCGGCGTGGGATGCGAGTTATTGGTCGTATGCGCGTGCTTATAGGTTGGCGTTTTGGAGTATAGTGCCGTTTGTGGCCCTGGCAACTGTTGCGGTGGTTTCGATGAGGGGGGTTAAGCATCTTATGACGGAGAGGGTGGAGGCAAGTGTTGAGATTGAGAATGAGAGGGAGGAGGACAAGGATGGGAAAGGGGTGTGAGGGAGATGTTGTTGTAGCATCTTGAGTTGGATGTTGTGGTGGTTTTATAAATTTATGGAAGCTGTGCAATCACTTATATTGCCTTGACGATTGTTGCTGCTGTATTCTACCTGGCTACTTTATACTTCAATTCAGTACTAAGAGTCAGAATTAGCGCGTCACATGGCATATTCACTCTGGCTCTACATGAACATGAAGATTTACTTTGCTTGGAAGATGGGTGTGTCAAAGGGGGTCTTTTCCTTTGGTCATTGGTGTTGAAATAATAACAAGTCGCTCGAGTATGAATGCTAATAGTTGACTAGCTTCGCGTATTTATGGCTAGATGAAGGAAGATAGGAAACAGCAAGAAAGCAAAAAGTGAAGATATAATGAGAAGAAAGACTTTGATCCAATATCCCATCCACGCTAGACTTTATTCTGCACCGAAGTCTTTGAGTATCTGAATACATGCCTCCCATTCCTGCTGCCAAAAAGCCCACTCTTTTTTCTCTTCGTCGTCGTCCTCCTCATAGGCCCGAGCCTTAGCTGCGGCACTCCCAGACATAGCACGTGACAAGGGCGACACGCCCAATTGAGGATCTGCACCTTGGTCGAGTAAGAAACGCAAAATATCCGGTTGCGGTCCAGCATGCATAGCCCACATCAGTACAGATTGATCCTCGCAATCTATCGCATGGAGATCTGCTTCGGCTGCGAGAAGGATTTCCAATTTTTCCTGAAAGTGTGGGAGATGCCAGCAAGCCACCATCAGCGGTGTAACTCCATGTTTGGTAGCTTTTTCCACAGATGCGCCAAGACTAAGAAGATGTTTGAGGATGTTGGGATCATCTATTGCTGCCGCCTCGTGTAATGGAGTTTGTCCCAGGTAGTCACCAACATTCACATCCGCTTGCGTCTTGACTAACATTCTGAAAAGATGAATATTGCCCGCCAAAACTGCATCATGTAAAATCGTACGTCCGAGATGGCTACGCAGATAAATTGCACTCCCATAATTGATCAGCTGCTGGAAGATCTCAAGGTTTCCATTTTTGTATGCCGCTGCCTCATGCAATGGAGTCCAGCCCCAATTGTCCTGGATGTTTACGTTAGTTTGCGCCTCAAGCAAGACCATCGTAGCTGGGACACTCCCGTAAGCGACTGCAAAGTGCAAAGCAGTCCTGCCGTCGGAATTGAGCAGATCGACATCAGCGCCATGATCTAGGAGTAGCTTGAGAATGGTGTCGTGTCCTCTCATTGCAGCGAGATGCATGATATTAGAAGGGCAATCAGAATGCCGTGAGGGAATTGAAGGTTCGATCAAGACACCGTGGAGTAGCAGCTGTCTGACAATTGCTTCATGGCCGCAGTATGCTGCGATCGCCAATGCAGTGGTTAGCGATGGATATCCTCCGTTGAGCTCTGAAGACCGATCCAACGTCCGCTCTAGTAATGCATCAAAAGCAGCTTCAAGCCCAAAATAGGTCGCCAGATGCAAGCCATCCAGTGGCGACCTGTCTATTTCGATACACCTCCCCAAAAACCTGTTGCATGAGAGATTGTCATACATATAGCCGAGAGTGGCCCCCAGATGTGATGATTGGTTGAGGACTTCCATGACCCTTTCATGGCTAGCGGGTACCTGGCGAGCATGATAACCCCAATTTTTCGCACTGTAAACACACCAATCGCTACTTTGCCACATTGTATCCAACCCAACGGTCCAGCAATCTCCAGATGAGAGAAAGTAGAGATAGGAGAGACATGAGTCTGTAATGAGGGCTTGCGCGTCTGGGAACCAGCGTTGTTGTGTTCGTTCAAGGTATTCCTGTGTGGTGTAGTGGGCTAACCCGACAGTGTCACTTTCTTCATTGACTGTGACAAGTCCAGCGCACGCGGTTACAACGTCATAAATATCTGGGAAGTTGTCTGGATCAATGTCTGAATTTCCAGACTCTGCACCGAGTGCCATTTCCAAATCCAGCTTTGAAAAGTGGTGCTTGGTGCAGGTGAGAAAGGCCAATGCTTCCTTTGCCAGCTCTCTTTGATCATGGAGTTGCCCTTCAATCCTAAGCATCGCATCTTCGTATACAGAGTCATAGGCGTTTGAACCAGTTGCAAGATTGTGGAGTGAAGTCCGCAGTGCTTTTTTGGACCTTTTCCCGATCATCGAGTTTAGGTGAAGCTTGGCAAGGAGAAACCTACACGCTTAGTATAACTTCTAGCATGTCTGAGGGGTAACCTACATCCCTTGAACCGCTGCAACGATACTGGAGATCACTTCATCTTGCAGTCTCACATCTTTTCGTACGAAACCTGGAAGACGATGTATTTGTTGAGCGAGGTACTTTTGGACATCATGGGCATCTGCTTGGATCTGTAAAACTGAAGCCGCCGTGAACCGGCCAGTGACCTCCGGAACGGGGCGCGATGTAGCAAGGAGTTGGAGCTTATGCCTTTTCTGCAACTCTTGGATCGCACATATCAAATCTGTACAATTCTGTTCGGGGGCCAGACATTCGTCGAGGGCGTCTAGTACAATGAAAACCCTTGAAAAGCTCGCTATCACTGCTTCCAGAGTCGGCATAACTGTCCGGGCTTGACCTGAGTATTCCTGTCGATGAGTTTTATAGAAATCGTCTACTTGTTTAGGTAACGGTAACTGTAACTGTTGTGCAACAAGCTGCTTCAGCAGACCAGAAAGAAGGGTCTCGTTTGATTGCTGATCTTGGCGACGGTAATCAAAGAATAGATGGGCAAGGCCGATTTGGGGGTCGGCGTGGAATCGGTGCCTCAGATCCTCGTTGATTATGGAAGCCAGAACCGTCTTTCCTGCACCTGGTATTCCTGGGCAGAACAGCGTACGATGCTTTCCAGTGAGCCAGTCTTGATACTGTTGTGAATTTAGCAGCCACTGGCCGGTTCCAGCTTGTCGTGAACGAATGGCGTTGCGTTGTTGAGATTCATAATCAATAGAGTTTAGCTCCTCAAGGATGCACTGTCGCTTCTGTATGGCTTCCTGCAAGTCGTGGCGCTCGTGGAGCTGCTGAACTTGTTTTTGGACACCATTCTGGCCCATCTCAAGTCCCCCGAGCTTTTCTGCGACCTTTTCAAGGGCAAACTGATGATCAACATCTCGAGTTCCCAGCGTGGATTTCAACTCTATAAGTAGCTGCTCGTTGTGTTGGGAGTGAAGACTGATCTTTTGCAGTAGACGTGTTGAATTTCTGTCCAGAGCCAAGGACAACAAGTCCATCTCATATCTTATAGCGTCAATAAGTTTCCGTACATCCTGTTCCTTGAGAGGCCATTTCAGTTTCTCTATGGTGCTGTCCCGAGGGGAAAGAGCCTGAGCTGCTACGCTTAGAGCCTCATGGAGGCGACAGAGTGGACTGGACAGCAACTGTATTGACTTGGCCCATTCTTCGCTTTCCTCGAGATTCTCGGAGTCCTCAGCTTCATCTTTGAGTTGGAGGATGATGTGGCTGCACGCCCGTATCTGCGAGCGAAGGCGTTGCCTGTCATCCTTGGCCGCACGGGTGGCGTTAATGTACTTGATGAGTTTCTCGCAGAGTGTCGCAATCGCGATGAGGCTGGCAGCTGTATCCATGAGTCTGAAAAATCACAAAAGACTAAGAGATATGTTACGGAGGTATGCTACGGAGGTAGAAGACGAGAGACGGATTCAAGGAGTGAGATCAGACTGAGGCTGCGCCCCCCGCAGCCGGAGGCAGTAGGCAGTACTGCTCATGCATAGGTAAGCCACATGCTGTTAGGTCAAATGACTGCATACATGACCCGATGAGCAACATCATGTCTTTGGTTTGGATCGATGCAAAATTTGATGAGAAACAGTGTAGTGTTTGCTACAAAGACGAGGGTACACAGAAGGAAGATGGGAAGAGGCTTGGCGTTGTTACTAGTATCCCATCTCCGTGCACGTGCAGTCGCGTTTAGCGTCAACGTAGCGCGACGACGGCATCCCGTCTGACCCTGTCGCTTTGGCTTCAACAACCATTCATCGCGACAATGTTGCCCGACGAAATCATTGCGCAGTTGGATGCCGAGTTCCAATGTCGCCATCACCAAATACAGCATCTCGCCGCTCTCTACAGTGTAGGATGCGCCCCTAGCCTTCAGTGTACATTCGTTTTGTTGATGAACAATAACAGGCACATCTCCCATCTCCACCTTTGCTCAACGTTCACGGCTTGACAGCAACGGGAAAATCGTCCATCCTACGCTCCTTCTTTCACCTATCGCGCTTATGTCATACCATCATCAACGTCCGCGAATGCATCACCACACGCCATCTTGTCGAGCGCATCGTCGCATCTACTCTCGATGCTCTTGACGAGTTCCATGACGAGAAGACAGACAGGAGACCATATGCGCGAACAGAGAACCTAAGCGCGCTATGTGTGAACATTGGAAGACTACTGGAGGGAAGAGGGAAGTTTGTCTTGGTGCTGGATGCTATGGACAAGCTGCGCGAAGGGGGAGGAACATTGATCGCTGCACTGGGACGATTGGGAGAATCGGTATGTCTCTGGCTACATCAACTTGATAGATGCTTTACTAAGAATTCTCAAAGATACCTAATCTCTCCATTATCCTTTCAACAACCCTACCACTTACGCCTTCCGTCCTTCACTCTTCCTCAACTTTGTTCCTCCATTTCCCAACTTACTCACGCACCGACCTTATCGCCATCCTAGGTGCAAGCCCACCCAAAATCTTCCTCAACCCACCGTCTCTCGAACAGTTTCCCGACTATACCCCAGATATTGCTGCCGAGGACGATGCATGGCTCTGGGGCCGCTTCCTACAGGCCGTATATGACTCGCTCGCCAAACACACTGGCCGAGACTTGATCAGCTTCAAAAATTGCGCAATGCGCCTATGGCGGCCCTTTGTCGAGCCCATAATATCAGGCCAATTCGGAACGCGCGACTTCTCCCGCCTAATGGTCAACCGGCGCCACCTCTTTCAACTCGAAGATTCAGTACTCGATCGTATCGTTGCTTCCTCCAACACCTCCGATCCTGTAACCAACGACGCCGTGACTCCAGCCACGCCCAGTAAAAAGAAACTCGCAAACATGACCGCTCACACCCTCCCTTACTTTACAACCCACATCCTCATCGCCGCATACCTCGCTTCCTACAATCCACCCAGAACAGATGTGACCTACTTTATGAAACATACCGATAAGCGCAAGAACAAGCGCCGCGCCCCTACCACCGCCTCGTTCAGTGTTACCGGTAAACGCACCGGCTCCAAGCATCGCAAAATCAGTCGACACCTCTTGACCCCTAGCCCGTTCACGCTAGACCGCTTGCTGGCCATTTTCCGTGCACTGCTCGATGGAACTGTGCCCCAAGTGGCAGATTTGTACACGCAGATTGCTACCCTGACGAGTATGCGCTTGCTCGTTCGGGCAGGCGGTGCAGGCACGAATGATGCGCTGGAGCCAGGAGCGAGGTGGAGAGTGAATTTTGGGTGGGAGTATGCGAGGGCGTTGGGGCGGACAGTGAATGTGGAGGTGGGCGAGTATTTGGTTGGTGGCGTGGATTAGGTTTCATTTACTATTCAAACATGTTTTTTTACACCATTGATATTGGATGATCTCGGGGCTCTCTTTGAGAAGAGGCAAATTTCTAGCCTAGGAACTACAACTACATTGCATCATTCCCCTGTACTTTGGCACATCACCGCAATATCTTTCCTCTTCGTCTGCGTTCCACTTCCATTCTTCTTGGAAGGGATTGAGCACCAACTTCATGACCTGCGGCAGGATATCGCGTTCATGCTTCTTCTCAACACGTTCAATGAGTTCATCCAGGATCCAAGAGCGAGGGACAAACTACGCATTGACCAGTCAGTTTAACGATTCCAACTTGGAGAGGAAAGGGGGAAATAAATCATACCTTTGGGTTAACAGCATCCATCGCCGTCTTCCTCTCATCATCTTTTTCCTCGCCCCAATCTTCCCTGACACGCTCCGCCCACTTATCGAGCCACTTCGCAATTCGCTCTCTACCCTCGCTCTCACGTCTGGGCGCAGCATCGCTACGGAAAAAGCGACCAGCAGTATCTATCCTCTTATCTTCCGTGTCCACATCCGCAAGTCGAATATCGCCTAGTCTCCTAAATGCATGATGGAAATCCAACTCGTAGGCTTCAAGGCAATCCAGCAGCTCAGACATGAGGACATCAAAGTCTGACTCCTTTTGCGTCTTGAGTCCGAGGCGCAGCGTCATTAGACGGCGGTACTCTGCTAGGAAGACAGCTTTGTATTCTTCGCCTGCACGGTCGATTGCTGATTCGGCGCATTTGACGAGGCCTGGTGCTTGCTCTTCTGTTACGCCCTTCTCCACAAATGTCTCATCGTCAACATAGTTTCCTGCGCCAAAGAGTTCACCGAGAGCTTCGCCGAGGCGTACTAGGTTCCACCAGATGATGGTAGGTTGGTTGCGGTAGCTGTAGCGCAGCATGTGGTCGTCGTGGTTGGGTGTGTATGTTGGGTCGAATGTGTCAAGGAAGGCAAAGGGGCCAAAGTCGATTGAGAGGCCAAGAATGGATGTATTGTCGGTGTTGAGAACGCCGTTCATGAAGCCGTATGCCTGCCATTTAGCGACGGTTTCCGCATTACGGCGGAGGATGGCGCGGTACAAACGAACATAGCGATTCTCTGCTGTTTCGCCCTCGCCTTCAACCACGTCTTTTGCAACACCATCATGCGTCTGTGCATGGACGTCTTTGGCATCTCCTGCAGGCAACTTGGATGGCAGCTTGTCCCACCCGCCATAGACATGCTCAGCAGTGTAATCTGCCAACATCCTTAGTGTCTTACGGTCTCCACGAATCCGTTGCAGGTCAAAGGTTCCAAAGCGAATCCAACTTTGAGCAAATCGCGCAACAATCGCACCAGGCTCAATTCGTTCACGCATGATCTTGCTTCCCTTGTTTAGTGTCAAGGACAACGCCCTTGTACTTGGTATCCCAATGGCATTCAAATACTCGGAGACGACAAATTCTCGAATGGAAGAGCGAAGAACCGCTCGCCCGTCGGCAAAACGCGAGTATGGTGTCCGGCCAGCACCTTTAAGCTGTATTTCATATCGTGTACCCGTCGCAGGATTAGTAGACTCGAACAGTGATATGGCACGTCCATCACCAAGCTGACCCGCCCACTGCCCAAACTGATAGCCGCCATAGCACTGAGCCCATGGGTATATACCTTCATCCGGGTTCTTCTCATCCCATGTCAGGATTTTCTTACCTGCCACAACATCTTTGAAATCATCCGTCTTAGCCTCCTCTTCCTTCAAGCCAATGTCTTGAAGCGCGCTTTGGCTGACTGCTAGTAACTCGGCCTCTCCTTGAGGATCTGGGCGTACATATGTATACAATGCTCCCTTGACCATGCGCGGTCCCAGTTTCTCGCGGGGTGCGTCGTGAGAAGCCTTGGGTGTAGGAAATTCGGGATCCGCGGGAAGATTGGAAGTGAAGACATTAGACTTTGGGATTGAATTCAACGTATGAAGCTCGGCAGAGGAGCCATTCTCCGTCTGCGGAATATCCAAATGCGCCATGACCTGGTTTAGTCGTGCGGGCGTATTTGACAAATTTCTCAGAGCGGACTTGGTTGACGAAAAGGTTTTCCGTGTCGGTCGCAGCGTAGAAGAAAGGCGAAACATGCGCTGCTAAGGGGATTTCAAATGGTATAGGAGGGCGGGAGAATGAAAGAAAGTGGCGGCATGTAGAGGCGCATTTCAAAGTGATGTGAATCCGATGGAGCAGTGGCGTCATGCCTCGGAGGTCCTTATCGATAGCGCACTACCGGATGCTGACTCGCGTGTGAACAAACTGCCGTCGCCACTTTTCCAGCCAATCATCACGTTTACACGCTGTACGCGTTCCGACTTCTGCAAATGTACTGCATTTTACCATCTCACACTTTCTTGGAGACTGTCAGCATACACTGTAAGAATCGATCCTTTTTTTACGACCCCTCTCTGCGTCTTCTCCGGGAAGTCAGGATGAACGGCCAGCCAATTCCAGGCTTTTACTGGGATCCAGAGAAGAAGAAATATTTCAAGATTCAGAGCCAAAGTGCAGCACGTGGCCTAGACCTCAGGTACTCGGCTGAAAATATTAGAAAGGAGGAACGAAAAGAGAAATTGCAAAAAGCCGCCGCTGCCCGTTCAAATAAGATTCGAAAAGAAAGAGTTGTGAGGCGGAACCCAAACAGCATCATCCAGACGAATATCGAGAGAGAGCTTGGCTCTAAGCGGAGGTCATATTATTTCAACAATCTCTGGACAGATGTTTGTGCTTTCGGAATCAACACTCGACCCAAACAGGTCATTAGCAGACGACCCTGCCATGCATCAATACGAGTTTTCGACAGAGATCCAATCTCTCGCACAATATACGCAGTCCAAGGATCCAATAGTGTCAATATGCAGCGCATACGCACAAAAGATGATCCACCAGCCATGGAAACAGACTCTGGCGACTATTATGACCCACCACTGACCAATCCATATGCTTTCCACCCATGGGATGAAGTGACACGTACTACATCAACGGCATCATCCTTGACCTATCTTCCAGCTACTGGCGCCCTAGCTGTAACCACATATGGCTCCGATCGGCCTCCTGAAGTGTGGCTCAGTGATCCGGAGCGCGACCAGCCAGTAAGTGTATCAGGCATGCAAACCTACCTCTCGTCAATTTCCATGAGTTAGTCATCAACGAATAAACAATATCTAACATCTCTCCACTTGTAGTACGTAGGCCAAAAATTCACACCTAGAGATTGTACCGCCATATGGACCGCCAGCGCGCGACCTACATCCTTCACTGTACCCCCCAACATCCCCACCACAATCGCAGCATCCCAAACTGAGCACCTTGCCGTCGCAGCCTCTTCATCCCTCCTCCTCTTCACCCGCTCTCAATGCGGAACCTGGGACTCAACCCTCGCCCTCAAACCCCTCTCCTCAGACATCCTGGCCCTAGACTGGCTCTCCTACACCACTCTCGCCCTCGGCTCACGCGACGGCTCCATCCGTCTCTACGACACCCGCTCCGGAGGATCCAGCCACATTCTATCCCACCCGTACCCCATCTCCAAGCTCAAACGCGCAGACGACGCCTCGCGCCTCGTTTGCTCAGGTCTCGAAGACTCGCTCTGTCTCTACGACTTGCGGTCCCCCCGCCAGCTACCAAAACCCAACAACCATCATTACCAGAATTTGCCTAAACGCAGAAAGTACACGCATGGAAATCGTAAGGCGGTGTCGGCCCCACTTCTCATGTTCCAACATGCGAATCGCGAGGAGCTCGATTTGGATATCGCGGTACATCCGCGGTTGGGCTTGCTGGCTGCTGCGCAGGATCTTGCGACTGGGACGGCGATTCGGGTTAGTAATTTGTATACGGGGAAGATGGTGAGGGAGATCAGGTGCGAGGGGAAGAGTGGGAAAAAGGGGAAGGGCGGGTGGGAGAGCATTCGGTCTTTGAAGTTTGTCAAGGGAGAGGGAGAGGAGGGTGGAGGGGTAAAGTTGTGGTCGTGTTGGAATGGGGGGATCGGGGAGTTTAGTTGGTGATATGGAGCGGTATGCTGGCGGGTGGGAAGTATGATAGGCAGAAGCCTAGCTGATGTATTGTTACTAGTATTGTAAGGCGATATATCGATTCCCTTATATAGGGTTGCTCTGTAAACTAACTATTCACATGACGGTCTCGATGTGAAATCGAGACAAGCAAGATACTTGTACCCAGTACATCTCACTCCTTGATACATACTCATACAACATTCATCGCCGTTCAAGCGGTATTACATTGGTTTGTTGCCTCCCCCCAGAAACGGTACCCTCGTCCCACCTCTCCCCAATTTTGCCAGTGCGTCCCCCAGCACCTCACGAATCGTACTCTCCAGCCTCTTATCCTTCTTCCGTCGCATCCATAACAACACTATGCCCAAAACAACCGCATCAACAACCACATGCTTGAAGCACGCCCAGACCCATCGCCAAATGCCTCTGAACAGCCGGTAATGCGCCGAATGCGCAAATAGGCGGCGTGCTTCTAGTTGCTCTCGTAACGCGGCTACTTCGGCCGTCATCTTCATGAGGGACTGCTCGACGCGCTTGCGCCATTTTTGGTCGGCGGCGGATTCCTTGGCTCCGTTGTTCGCCGGGCCGGGGGTGCTGCCGAAGCCCGGAATGGGCATTTGAATAGGTTTCCCGAGGACGGCCATGCCTCTGGATTTTGGGGCAGGAGTGGGCGTCTGAATGGGTATGGGTTCGGCGCGCATGAGGTTCTGCAGGTCGGTTTGGACGCCGGCGTCTTCTAGGTCGTTATTGGCTTCGTCGTTTTCGTCTGGGTAGGAAGTCGGATTGTATTGCGAATCTGGGGCGTCGACAAATACTTCGCCGCGGTCGATTTCCGCCTCTTCTTCTTCAAGGTTTTCCTCGGATTGCGAGATGGGCGACTTGACCCGCAGCGGCATATCTCGCGCTACTTCTCTTGTTGGTGTTTCGTCGTTCCGTCTGAGGGGCGCGCTCATGTCCATGGCTGCGCGCCGACTTTCGCCCAACTCATGCTGTGAATAACCAGACTGAATGTGGTCGGAGTGTCGCAAGGGCGAAGATGATGATGACGAGGGCACGTTGGATTTTACTTGGTCCCAGACGAATTCCAGCTCGGCGACGAGTTCCCTAGAGTCTGGGGAGGGTGAAGCATACTTGTGCATAGTGTCGATAAGGGTGGTGATGTAGCGACGCTTTGCCTCTGTGCGCGAAAGTCCGTTTTGCTGTTTCCATGCATCCCTGGGAGTTGTTAGTTATGCGCTGATATCGGTCAAGAAGAATGCTATATGTCGCGTGCCCAACATACCACTTCTCTCGCGCCCGCTGGCTGTGGTCATCGTTCCCTCTCGGGCAGTCCATTATGCCATCGACATCGCCCTCTGCAAGCTGTCAGTCATCGTCGTCGTCGCTACCACACTTTCGATCGCAACGTACCCATGGCCTGCTTGTACAGTCCATACAGCCGCAGCCGTATCGCCGATGGCGGCTTCTGCGATCCGGTGCGGATTTTGTTGACGGTGTTGAGCGCATGGCTAAAGACTCGATCTGTGTTTCTCTATGTCAACACGTCTGTATCCAAAACTTGAGGCGGGACAGATGCAAGCACATACCAACCGAGTCTGACATTGCTAGGGTGAACGGCGCGCCCCCACACGAGGGGAGCGTGGCATTGATCGGGAAGAGGAGCTTGTACGGGCGTATATGAGCACCGCATGCACAAATAAATTACCCGGGCCAAAGCAGCAGAGAATGTAGACAATATTGGGCGGTGGACGGCGGATGGGCGGCGGGCATGATGCGATGACATGCGGAGCCGGTAACGGTGTGGACATGGCATCGTTGTCGCGCGCATCCTTGGGGCCTCGGCTGCTTCGGCGCGCGCTTGCCATGTGGCAGTCCAGGCGGGTCTGTCACGTGTCACCTTGCACTAGTTTCAGTAATTAAGTCGGTGTTGGCACCACCGCCCTTGTTTTCTCTGCATCCTGTGTGCTGTATAAAATTTATCTACATCTGGTTAGTCACAATACTGGCTTAATATACTTGTGCGAGCTCTTCCCGTATCGCGTTTCAAAGCTGTTTTGCACGTAGTAATACATTGATGTCATCGCTGAATATGTGTTTATCATATTTCCGGCAAAATGTATGTCACTGCGAAATTGCTTTGCCTTCAATTTATTACAGAGAGATACTAAACTATTCATAGAAAACCTGATACAAGCTGAAGCACATCGACTATAGTGCTGACTTTCTACCCCCGCCTTTGTCACCTTATTTCTAGTGGCCCGCAGACAGAATTTTGGCCTACCACCACAGGATGTACACAATGATTATGTATTAAACCTGGCGCTCATCCACTTCTAATTCTCTCGTCCAAATCGACCACGCATCCTATCCTACTTATATTGTCCTCTTCAACCATGCGTCCTGTCATATCTATCATGGCACTCTACGCCACCCTCGCATCTGCCCTATGTCTGCCTTCAGACTGCTTTGATGCTGGGTCGCACTGTTCCCAGGATTGCCTGAACCAAGCGACTGGACAGTGGGAAACGCATAAAGGCACATGCAAAATGTATTTTGGCTCTTCTCATTCCTGGATTTTAGTTGTTTTTCTAATCATGATCTTAGAAATGGAAAAGGTTTCGATTGCAATTAAATGGCCATAGATCAGTTAACCACGGATGACCTGAGAACAACCAACTTTCTGCATCCGAGACTTCCGCAGCCTATTGACCTGAACTGTTGGTCGGATAAACAGATCATCCGTCTAAATGGCTAAGTTAGATCAGACAATCAAAAAATATATGAATGTCCAAACATGAACCCTGGCATTGATGACTTTGCTCTTGAGATTTTGGATCAAGTCGTTTTTGGTTTCTATTATATTATCGCTCGTTTGCAATAACAATAATCTGAACTAACCGTCCAAGTTGAGAATCAGTGAGTTTCAGATGATGATACAAGCAGACTGCTACTCTCGGCAAGTAATAGGTTGGCTATCTAATGCGAGATCTAGGCTATGCGCCATACAATTCTATCAGCGACTAGCTATATTGATAGTGATGAAACATAAGCATACACCGATAGCAAACAAACATCTTACTGCAGCACCGATTCAACATGTGCATGAACCGTGTAAAACATTCTGTCACTCACCCGTCTCGTATTTCCGTCTTCTAGAAGCCCGAGGGGCAAGTACAGTCATGCTCAAGGCTTGGCAAATCGACTCATCAAAGTCTCCCTCTGGCCCGTGCCGTGTCGGAAACTTTTATCTGCTAATCGGATCCTGGCGTTTCCTAGATTTTTAACTTTCGGCATGTTTTCTAGTGCCGACATGGGTATCAATATATACAAGACAGGCTGCTTATCACAGGTAAGCTTTAATGTAAGCTTAAGTTCAAGGGCCTTTTGGGGAGTATATTTAGGCACTTGGGGTCCACCCTCTAGATCTGCTTGTATGCTATTGTACCTGCATACCTTGTCTGACCTTCCTTCGTTCCGCTCTACTTGCAAACCTTTTCTCACCATCGTTGTAGTCCTGCATTGAATCAAGATGCGTTTTTGTTGTTCCCATCCTCACCCTCTTCGTAGCCCTGGCGTCTGCACAATGCCAAGTTGTGACTCCATGTAACGCAAACGATGGTGACGGTGGGTGCACAAAGTTCTGCCGCGGTATTCACACTTATGTGATGGGAACTTGCTCAGGGTAAGACTTCATTAAAGTTTAGGAAAACTCTTGTGAAAAAAAAAATCCAATAGTACTGTTTGCAACTAGACAGCTCGGAGGGGGGATGGCGCAGTGGTGAAGCGCCTGGAAAGCCTCTGCTGTCTCACGTCAGCAGAGCTCGAAGGTTCGATTCCTTCTCTCCTCGAAACCAT